TAATATCAATAATGATTTCCCATGGATAACTAACATAATCATTTTAGATGAGTTTTAAGATATATATATATATATAGATATATATAGGTTAAGATTCTAAAAGGAATTAAAAATTGTTGAAAAAAAGTAATTTCGACATCTTACAAGGACGAATCCTTAAACAAATGTATAAAATAAATGAATGCATTTTTCTTGTTTTCTATGAAGTGAATATATTGGATTTAAACAAAAACGTTCTACACTCTCAGTTCCTTTTCCAAACAAAAATAGATTAAAAATACGAAATAAAATCAAAGAATTTATAAATGTTTCATGATTTTCGTAATCTTGAAGAAAACATTTAAGGTTAAGCTTGAAAAACAATTTTAATCGTTAAAACTAATTCACTCCAAACACAAGTGCTAGAATACAACAATGTATAGATATAAAATAATAAAAACTCAGAACAAAATATTTTCTGATACTCGGTATTGAAATTCCCGAGAGACTACTTTTTTCGTAACTTTGAGACAGTTACAAGCTAGAGACTCTCCATGAAGGAGCAAAATTAAATATCGAGATCAGATAAGAATAGAAATATACATATTTTAATATTTATTTCCTATCCTTTCCCCATTTCAATATTCTTCTTCTCTGAATTTTGATTGGTTTTGATAGTCACGTGACCTAAAACCCAATATCCGTTGTCAGTGAAATAAAATTCCAGTAGTTTTTCTTTTACTTCTAGCATTAAAGTAGCCAGTTTATCAACTATTATCATCTCTGGTTACTTCTTTCCGTTTTTGTCACTCAGTGAATCAGGTTAGACAAGTTTTTTTTGTAATATATATTATTTTATAAATAAAAATATTAGCCTTACTTATCCTTATTATCACACAAAAAATACACGGCTATTCTGATAATAATGCCGTACTGTTTAGTAATAGGATAAAAACAGCATAATTTTGCTAAATTGAACCAAAATATACGATATCTAAACCATTCATTTGGCAATTTTTGTAATTATATGGCTTCAGTTACTCGGAAATTCTGGTTTCCGAAATTACAGTTCCTTTTATTCAGAATTAGTACAAAACTACAAAGTAATTTTAACCGAGTAAACAATTTTTATGTCATGCTAAGGTATCATGATAAAATTTTCACATTTTACCACACTTACCAAATTTTATCATATATTATGAGATTATATCTTATTGTTAATATTACCAAAATCATTACTAAAGGCATCGTTTGATCTTTTTGGTGGATCATTTAGTATTATGGTAAAACACGATACATTTTACCATATTATGGTAGTTTTGAACTCATACTTTTTTCACAGTGTAGTTTCTATACAGGTTTTACGACACGGGGTGCAGAAGTGGAGGTAAATGTCGTAAGTCTCTAGGCGAAGGAGAACATGAAAATTAATTTGCATTTGGCTCTTGAAAACTATTAAATATAATAACAAATATTTTATGAAAGAAATTTAAGATCATAAAAATTATGTCACCATATAATAATTATGTCACCATATAATGATTATGTTACCATTTCCCTTGCTGCATTGGAAAAGAAAAAATCACAAATCCCATTAAAATTTACATAATTCTTCTATGCATAAGGGAAAACGATTAAGAATGTTTTGCTAAAAATAACGTTTAATAAATAATAATTCATGCCATATTATATTTATATAAAAATGAATTTGAAATAATGATTTTGATTTTTATAAGTATACATTTTCTACGTGTTTTTTATAATTTATTTTTTCAACTGGTTTTTTATCCCTCTGTAACAGGAGCATCTATACAACGTGAAGAATGCCATATTAATTTACCGTAAAAACTCAAACCATCAATTAGGGTGCAGTTACTTTTTAAAGTAAAATCCGTTTTTAACGAAATATGTTACAGAAAAAAAATCTGACATGCCCTAGTTTTTACAATTATAATTATCGTAAAATCACCGAATCGTTCTAAATCAGGAAGCATTACTGTAAAAATTACAGTATAATATTTTGCGGTAACAATGAGTTTTAAAGATGATGTACCCAAAGTACCAATACTTTATATCATAATTTCATCCGAAATTTCAACTTCGTAATTTATCACGGGCCTCATTCGTTGTAAAGCTGTGACATACTTCTGCGTGTCACAGATTTATAAGGGATTTAAAAACATGTATTTCAATTAAGAAAATGTTTTATAATAATTGATTTTAAAGTTGCGTCAGTAAATTATATAAACCAAAGCAAAACTGGACCTTACTTAAGCTTTTGTATTTTTAAAAGACTTTTATAATTTTGATTTTTTTAAAATAAATTATTTGTACGCTAAATATAAAAATTAAAAATATATTTTTCAGTAAAAAATTTAATAAACTATTTATTTTCCTACTTTGTTTTTGCATGAATTAAATTTAAAAAAAACATCCATGCATAATTGTCTGCTTAAAATAATAAAAGTTTATAAGAGCAATGATAAGAATAAAGACAATAGCTAAAAAACTAATTGTATATAAATTACAAACTATTGTTTTTTGTTAAAAAAAAAGAAAATAATGTATAGTAAAAGTTTAAAAAATCATTTCATTTTAGTTTAAAAAATCCTCCTTTGGTAACATCAATTAATTTTTTCAGACATAGAATTCAAAATTTTTTAAAATACGCATAAAATAAACACAAAGAAAATCACATTGTGTTTTTATATACTTGAAATTATCAGCAAAAGGTTTTTTGAGCACGAGATTTATTTTAAAATGTCAATATAAAGAGGGAAGTTGCAAGAATTTCCTCATAAGGACTTTAGTTTTAAATTATTTAATGTTCGTTTAAGATTGCAGAAAAGCGAAATACACCACGTTCGGAAATAAACAATTTGTTTTTGACATTTAAGAGAAATAAACAATATCCCAAAGGCACTTCTTCAAGCACTTAATATGCTCATAGCATATCATTTCCTTTATTGGACTAAAAACTTAATTGAACTTTTAATTTAGTTACATAAGTAGATTTCTTTTATGTAGTCATGCAAAGGATTTTTTTTTAATTTTAAAAATTCGTATCATTTTTATAATTCAAACTTAACATTAGTAGGATATTTAAAAAACTCGACGTTTCTAAATATTAAAAATGTAACAAAATGCTGAATTAAACTTGTTTATTTTTACAAAATCGCATGCATTTTTTAAAGAAGGACATTTTAAGTAATTAGATTTTTCTTTTTATCACTAAGTTTATCTTTTAAAGTCTGAAAAACTTATAACAAAATTTGTCAACTATAAAATGAAAGTGAGCCTATAAAATGAAAGTGAATCTATAAAAAAGCTCTTAGCTTATTGAAGCAAAATTTCATTATTTTTTGTTTTGATATATAAAATGCATCGTTTTTAATATTATTAATTTAATTTGGCTGAATGCTTTTCTTTTATGCTCAGAATAGCTGTCTCAATATCGTAAAGCGTATAATTCTTCTTCATCTTAAGTCTATAATCTTCAATCCTAGGGCATCTAGTTTTCGGCATTAAAGCTAATCTTAATGCATTGAATAAAAGTAAAATAATATCAGTGATTACATTATTCATAAATGACATTGAATATTTAGTTTATTTTAGCCTATTGTTTTAAAGTCATATAAAATGTACTTTAACTATTTAATTTTTAAAAAATTGTATTTAAAATATAAATTTACTCAGATTCTGGCAAATTCAAGTTAATCTTAAAATCTGATTTATAGTTATTTAAAAAATTACTTCATTTTCCTTCTGATTAAATTTATGTTCAAGTTAGGGTTAAAATAACGTGCCAGTAATTTTATCAAAAGATTTATGCTAAAAATATAAACCCTCAGACATATAGTTAGTATATTTACAGTTAGTTAAAAAATATATGGATAAGACAAAATTTCTTGTAGCGATTAGATTGTTCAAACATTCCATTTGAAATTAAATTTACCTGTTCACTACGAAGGATGTTAATTATTTTAAAACTCATATTACATTCATTTTCAAAATAATCCCATTTCAGAATATAGAAAATTCATTATCAAATTAGGGGGTAAACGTTCTATTAAATAAACAAGAAATTTATATTTAAAGTGAAAATCGTCTGATGTATATTTAACCTTCGAAATGAAATAAAAAATATTCCATTAAAGTGGTTTCATAACAATAATTAGTTAATTAGAACAGCTCGATTTCAGTGTTAGAATTTTGTTTTGCAATTTACCGTAAATAACCGGCAGCTATCTGTCTATTCAATTAACTGTAAAGATTACTTCTTAGAACATTTTTTATCTTTACGGCTTTTATACATCGCTTACAACAAATATGGTTAAAAAAACATGAATACAAAACTATACGTATTTTAACCATTTACAACTAACATGGCTTAAAAACCATAAAAATGAAAATTAACTGGACATTATAGTTTGGCTTTTCGTTAGGTAATGGGCATTGACTCTAGGTTGCGGTTTAATCGTTTTATGAAGTGAACCATGAAACGTAATTTAAATATTTTATTTAGTTAGTTCACCTATTATAAGAGATGGGAAATGCTTGACTTTTTGTGTTAAGCAGCATTATGGTGCTGGAATCTATATCTGAATGAGAGTATCGGATTCTAATGGTCCTGGGTCACAAATTGAGGAGAGCGAGACTTTGGCAACTCTCCATGTATTGAAGGGAATGAAGGCAATCTTGTCGTGTCAACGAAGGGACTCGAACTGTCGGTTATGAGATTAACAGATTAGTTCTCCGGGCTACAATATGTACTCAGCTGCAAGGTTTGAAGTGGCTTCAGTTGTTGCCTAATTGAACTGATAAAATTCTAGTTGTTCAACCGAACTAGGTGAAAGCATTTAATAAAATGTTTTAAGTAAAAAAAATAGTTTAAATAGCATTTTATTTAGGGTTTGCTTTACTCTTTCATTTGAATATGAAAAAAATAATAATTAAGTAAATTCTTATTTAACCATTTTTTCGAGAAATTTTTAACAGTGTTAATTATACTACTCGTATACCTCTCATTTTAAAAGAAATAAAATATAAGAAATTTTATTCATTAGCATAGGGAGAAGATAAAATGAAACTTATTTCAAAATTGTTTTCTTTAGTTAAAAATTAATAATTTAGTTAAAAATTAAGCATTACATACAAAAGCCCTCTTTTAAGTTATCCTTTCTAATTATTTTTAAATAAGATCTGTCTTTTGCAATTTAAAATGTTATTTTTACGGAACATTTGAAATCCGTAATTCCAGTTCATTAAAAAATAATAGGTATAATATAAAAACCTTTGAAACAATTAATTTACTTTAGTTGTAGAAAACACTTCTTTGATTTGTTTATGAAAAGATTTTTAAAAAAATATGAGTACGATGAATTTTTTAGCAGCTTTAAAAATTAAATATAAAGGAAGAAAAATATTATATGAATGTTTTTATCAAAACTTCTCTGAATTGCAGGATTAACACGCAAGTTTTTAACAGTACCTTAAATTAATTTTATGAAACTTGTATATTTTTATTTCATTAGAAATTTTTAAAGTTATTTAAATTGTGACATTTGCTTGAAAAAATAAATTTATAAGCTTATTCTGTTCTTAAATAAAAATGAACTTTTTTTAAGCTTAGGTTTTAAATCCCTACCATCAATTGCGTCAGGAAACTAATTCTAAAATTGTCGTTATTAGATTTATTAGATAATTCGAAAATAATTAGTGTAGCTTTAAATTTTATTTTTGAATCTGTTTAGCAACGCAATGTAACGTTACATCCTATTCTAAGCATTTTAGAGCATTTTATTTTTGCTTATACGCAGCAA